CCATCTGTGCCACCCAGAGACCTGACATGAAGATAGTACAAGGTTTGGGTACATGAATTCATAAGTACTTAAGCAAAACTTACAAAACATCCACTGTCTCTGTATACCCCAAATGGAAAAAAAAAATTCAGAATTTTAAAGATGATGGATAAATAATCCTTTGAAAAATGACTGTGGTGGTTATATAAGCGTTCCTCAATTTGAGGATTATGAGTGTAAGGGTGGAGTCTAGCCTGTCAATCAGATCATAGCCAATGAGGCCTCTGTGTGGGAATGGCCTTCTCCTGAGAATTCTGGGAAATCCAGCATTCCTTCTTGGAGATGGGAGACACTATCTCTCTTAGCTGACTTCCTGTGAGAAATCCCTGAGGAGAAGCTACATGGACCTACCCTGATGCAACCCTGGGTGCTAGAAAAGCCACATGGAGACCACTGCCAGCGCTGAGAGGCTTACACCACCACTGGATCCAAAGACTTTCTACCCACTGGCCTGTGATCATCCTGCATTTGGTGTCATTGCATGTGTTTTGTGAGTCTGAACTTTATAGATTGGTATTGGACATATGGGCTAATATCGGATTTATGAGCTAATATCGGATTTATGGGCTTGGACATGGTCTGCGTTGGGATGCTTTCTTAATGTACAATTACCCTTAAAACTCTTTCTTATACACATACGAGTTTCTATGGATTTGTTTCTCTAGTCTACCCAGACCAACAAATGATGTAGCAGAAAAAAGGTAGATCCATTAATTAACCCAGTGTTTCACTAAGCAATTATTTATAGAGTGCCTTACAATGTTACAGGCATACAACAATCTGGGGAAACAATCTGAGTAAGATAGGCCCTTCAATGCCAGGAAATGAAAGAGGTGAGAGTCAATAAATAAAGATATAAATGATGTTGTTACTAGGGAAGAAGTAAGTATGGGGTAGAGTAAAGCAGGCTACTCTAAATGATTTGTGATAGCCGCTAACCTAAAGGTTTACAGTTCAAACCCACTCTGTTACTCCATAGACAGAAGGCCTGACAGACCAGTTTCCTCAAGGTTATGGCCAAGAAACACTATGGGAGCACACTTCTATGACACATAGGATTACCAGGAGTCGTCGGGCAACGCTACAGAAGCCATCAGCAACGGGTCTAATGCAGAAAGAATCTTATCCTGAAAGAGCAGAAGGGTCTAGAACGAGACCACAGTTCATTAAAAATTTCATGAAGGACATGAGCTAAGCCCATCGAAGTGATTTCCATCACTTTACATGAGGGCAGTTTGTTCAGACCAGCAGCGTGTGCCTGGGTGGCAAATCCAAGACCAGATGCAAAGAACAAGAACATGTGTCAGAGCGGGGGGGAAAAACACCATGTTCAGGAACTATCTCAAACATGGATCTAAGGCATGTGGGGGAGGGGCTCACTGCCTAAAAGGCCAAAGGGATGGAAAAGAGAACAGAGAAATATCAGAAGAAAGATCTTGGTGAGACATGCTCTCCCCTCAAGTCCTGTAAGCCTTTCATCAAGGGAGATTTTACCTTTTTGTTCGCTAATCTCTGGGTCTGTAAGTAAAAATATGTTCTTGGTTGAACTAAAAATATGCTTTCTATCTCTTCTTCCTCTTCCTAATAAAGATAAGGCTGTCCTTCATCCATGCTAATGCCTGGAAGCAAGGACATCTAAAACACTGACAAATCGAACAAATATGTAAATTTGACTTAGGGCTGTACTCTCAAATTTTTTGTAAATATTCCACCACTCAAATTTACTTCATGCTAAGGGTAAGCTTTCAAAAAATAACTTTTTGCTTGTCTCCATTCCTCATCATTCCCTCAGGACAGATTTCAAGAGGCATGGTCAGCCCAAAGGGCTTGACTATTTTTGTAGCTCTGGAGGGGTACATCTTCGCTGTCTTAGTTATCTCCTCGGAGGCAGAATATTCAATAAGCAAGGTTATTATGCGTATACTTGTGTGGCCTGTACTTACGTATTCAGCTGTAATGCACAACTTCCCATTTTTTCCACCACATCAAACACTCTGCATCTAGTTATGGCTGGCATCAGCAATGTGGTGAAAGCCATGTGGAATTGTTCAGCAGATATTGAGAAGTAAGCACAAGCAAGCACATGCTTACCTTGCTTATTGTGTCAGCCACCCTCTATCTGTTGCCGCTCTACAAAAGACTTGACACAGTCCTTGCCTATCTAGGGCATCGTCAAGGTACCCTGGTGGTGGTGTAGTGGTGACTCGTTGTAAGGAATGGCTGGTGGTGGCTTACAATGCCATCGGGTAGAGAGATGAATTACAGTCAGAAATCCAGAGGGGCACTTCTACCCTGCCCTGTAGGGCTGGTATCTACCCAATGGCAGTGAGTTTGGGGGGCAATATTCACATTTGCTTAGCATCTCTCTTTCCCCATCTCCGCTTCCGTTTCTTGCTTAATTTCTCTTATATCTCAAAATAGATTGATTGAAAACACACCCAATGGTAAGCTTCTTTTATTAACATAATCATAACCAAATGGGATTTGAGCCATAGCTATAGGGCCTAAGATTTTGGGGGAGATGCCATTTGATTCCTAACATTAGTTTAATGGGATGATGGTTAAAGCACTCAGCTGCTAACCAAAAGGTTGGCAGTTCAAATCCCCCCAAGAGTTCCACAGAAGAAAAGAACTAGGGATCTGTTCCCATAAAGATTACAGCCTAGCACACTTTATGGGCCAATTCTACTCTGCCTTGCAGAGCGAATTCTTTATGTGGCAATTCTACTTTGTCATGTCCGAGTTGGGATCAACTAGATGACACCCAATGACAAATATTAAAATTAGATCGACTACATCAACTGAAGGTGACCAAGTGAAATCATATACAGATTAATTGTTGCTATCAAGAATATTCTAAAAGGCAAATCAAGCGATATAGATTTTATTTTTAAGTTTTGAATGGTTATAAGACCAACAAGAAGCTATTAAAAATATTCGCTTAAGAGAAATACTCAGGCAAACGTGTGTGTTTGTGTGTGTGTGTGTGTGTGTGTGCACGCGTGCACGTACAGGTGCACTAATAATGAACAAACACAAGAAAAAGAGAAGGGGTCATTCACTTAGTAATAAGAGAAGACTGAAGTCCCAAGTGATCATCTCCTTGGACAAAGGAAAAATCTTTTTACACTCCCCATGATTTCTGACCTAACTCGATATGACAATGACAATAAACTTTCAATTTAATGATGAACTGTTAGGATTAGAGGAAAAACTGATATTCAAAAAAACAACAACTCATTATTTTTTAAGATACATTAGGCAAGTGAGCTCTCAGAGCACTGTTGGGAAAGCATTGGACTGCTGACTGCGCGCAAGGTGACGCTTCTAGGCCCCCAGCTGACCTGAAGGTAAAAGTTGACAGTGACTGTTCCCACGAAGATGTATAACTTTAGAAATCCTACATAAGGTGACTCCAGGTCAAACTTGATTCGATGGCAATGAGCTCAGTTTGGTTTAGTGTCCCTTTTGTCATAAACTTCCAGAAAGGAGGACAGATGGTATTTTAAAATGACTCTGATTCTTCAAAAGTCAAAGGGCTCTGTTACCAATCAAGTTTCATGCAAGCCAAATGTAGACCAAGCAAAGAACAAATCTCCTTAGGAAGGAGCGTTTGGGGTCAGTCCCTGCTACAAGGTCTTATCTGGCAAGTCTATATACCACCAGTTACCATTAGATTCTCCCAAATATTCATAGATCCCCAAAGAATGAGGCCTTGTGGACTCAGCTATACTGATTGTTTTTAACTTGAAAGGCCAATCGGAGCATCTTACAGTACTTGAGACATTGTTTACTCCCCTTAGCCGTAGCCAAGAAGTGAATTTCCTCTATCGTGATAAGCAGAAAGCTTACAGATTTCAGAAACCTGAGCGGGAAGTTTGGCTTTTTATAAAATCCCCTTCAGACCAAGGGGCATGGGAAGGAGAGCTGGAAGGAGAAGAAAGGGAACCTTGAGTGATGCTCTCATCGGCATGCAAGCATACAGGAGCCATAGACTGCTGAGTGATATCTCAGAAGCTTTTTTTCACTCAAGCTTGCCCTGTTGACCCTAAAATGAGAAGCTCTGGTGGTGCACCGGTTAAAGCTCTCAGCTACTAACCAAACGGTGGTTTTGCGGTGAACGATGTCTGTGTCGGTGAAAATGTATAGGCTGATAGTCTTGCACACCCTGTGAGGCAGTCCTACTCCATCACACATGGGTTGGCATCTCAAAGGCAGTGGGTTTCGTGTGGGTTCGGGCCCTCAAATGTATAAAACATTTCCAGAAAGCCAAGCTTAAAAGTGAACTATTTCCAGCCCGGTTCTAAGGAATCCTTAAGTTGTTTGACAAGAACCTTATTATATCGTTCTCCAGGGGTAGGTTAGCGGCAACTAGGGACCCACAAACAGAATAAGGGACATATGTAAGCCGGGAGTTTGTCGGACTGGGTGAGCTTCACATGTGGCTTTAATATCCAACAGCTGCTAGAGATCACAACCCCGGGGCTCTTTCTGTACCCCATCAGAATCCTACGTTCCAAAGAGTATTAAATAGCTATATCTGTGTATCTATGGATATTACCTGAATGTACCTGTATGAGTGCCTAGCCAACCGGTCCCTTAACCATGGCAGATTGCACACACACACCCTCCCCCCGTGAGGTGGGTCAGCGGTGCAGGGCTGGTGGCGAGTGAGTGACACAATGCGCTTAGGCAGACCGGAGGGAGGGAGGAAGCAGGACAGCCCCGGCCAGTCCGCATTCCCGCGGGACAGGGTCCCCAGGGCCACCTCGCTTTGGCGCGAACTTCTCGCGTGGAACTGTCCAAGCCCCCGGCGAGTCCGTGCGTCCCCAGACCTTACACCCCGCGGGTGGGGGTCCACAGCGCGCGCAGGCACAGCCTAAGGGGCGCCGATCGTGGTCCCGAGGGCGCCCCAACCTGTCGCCGGGTCCCCGTGCAGACAATGGCGCGCGGCCACTCACCGACACCAGGAACTCGAGCGTGCCCACGTAGTCGCGCTCGGTCTTCTGCAGCTCCCTGAGCACGCACACGCGCAGGCGGAGCTGCCGCTCCAAGTCCTTGGCGCCCTCGGCGCGGCCGTCCCCGC